GTGAGATCAAGGAGTATGGTTGCGCTTCTAGAAGCCAAGAGACGTCTCAAAGTTGCGGATGGGAAGTAGGTGATGCCAGATCAGGGTTTGGCACAGATGACGTGTGAGACTATCTTGGCGAGAGCAACAGATCCATTGGAAGAGTTCCTGGGCGAAAGGTATATGACCAGTTTCTCAGTTGATCTAGCAGTGGCTAACTGTAGCCGTGCGAGGCTCATAAACGGCTATCCAGCAGTACGTATAATTTCTACAATTTGATGTACAGGACGCGTATATCGATGACTTAACAACTGTGGTGACGATGTCTCTGCCACGGAAGATCACAGCGACGCAGTGGTTTGACTTGAGTACGAAAATGTGCAGGGAGGCTGATTTTGACGATCATTTCCAGCGACTTTGACGTATCTCGTTGACTGGGACGCGTCCGTCGCAATGGCGGAAAAATAGGGATTCCTTTTTTTGTCCCTTACTAGGAACCGATCGCCGCCTTGTTTAGTTTTAGTTAGGCACTTGACTTGTTAGCCGATGAATGAATCATATAACGACTGTGTAGTGAATTTCGAGTCCACTTTTGAACTTAAATTTGTCTTCTCCCCTTTTGTCTAAACCGTCCTTGATCCTAACATACCCACAGCAACCAGGTCTGTAAACACGAAGAATTGATTACCACTGTGATTGTTCGCGTATCACAGAGTGAATCATTAATTCATGGTATAAAAATATCCCGATAGCCTCGACTGAAATTGGTTGCCACTCGTTTTTCACCAAAAAGATGGGTATGCACGAGCTAACAAGGGTTCATGGGGCTACTCCTGTACATTCCGTGGAGATTCTGAAGGGACCCGTGCTAAGGTAGGCCTAGACCTCCTCGATCGCACAAGACAAGCATTATCCCTCAGGATCAGTGCGCTCTTGATGCCTTGGCAATTGACACTTGTCAACTCAAGTACAAGAAACTCATACAGAACAGAACTTCTATATGCGGGGATGAAGTGACGAGATCTCAGCTCTCTTGGTAGCAACTACGACGACAAAATAGCTAAAACTTCCTCTTTTATCAGCCAGACGGGGTACCACTCTCAATATAGACTCACCTATACACAGATGTCGCAATGCCCATGACACAATCTGCCTATGCCCATCCGACCTCCTTACGCGCTCTGATCAAGCCCGAAGAAGACTGGACCAAGATATCAGATTTTGGCAAGCGGAGGAGGATGCAGAACCGCCTTGCTCAGCGCAAGTACCGTAAGTTGGATCCTGTCGATTCTGGGTCTTTGTATTCACCAGGAAAAACTCGAGAGAAAGCCATTCGAGCTGGTCGAGCATAACTAACGCCCGAAGACAGGAAATAAAGTCAAGCGCCTTGCTGGTTCCTCTGACGATGTAGAGGCTGACAAGCCCCGTCAAAAGCCAACCAAATGCAAGCGCCGTTCCTCAGCATCTCGCAGTAGGAAACCACGCTCTACAGGTCCCAGAATACCTGGCGTCTCTCAGCATCAATTCAATTCGCCTGTGAAGCCTACTGGCGAGCCTGGCTTTCCCGACACCTACGACGACCAAATCAGCTCCAACGAACAATTCCGCTTGGGTTGCCCTGTCAATCCTGCTTCCATTGAGATTCCCCTTCCTCTCTATGACTTTACTCAGCCCGACATAGACATTGTAACCGCTGGTGAATATGCTGCCAGCACAATGTCCTCCACAGTGCCCATGCCACCTTCTCTTGCAACACACTTTAGCGACTCCATCAATTCAGAGACGTACCCCAGCAGCGATGGATTCAACCCGTACATGGCCTACAGTAACATGACTCCTATGGAACTCAATTATCTCAGCCTATACGACCAGCTCTATCTTCATGTGAGTCACGCCAGTAAAACATTGCATGAGGCTGCACGAGCTCCACGATGTTAATGAGGTTCGCAGACTCCATCCCCGTTCTATTCTTCGGATCAATCTGTCGATATCTTACAGGCTGGTCTCGACTGTCCAATCACGCACAACTAGAAGATATAAAGAAATTTTCTTTTTCTTGAGGTAATACTTATGTAGTCTAAGCGCCTGAGCATATGGTACCCAGTAATAAACTAAAGGCGGATTGGGAAAGGGATAGAAAGAATGAGGGTGACCTCCGATTTGCCGCTGCTGAGATGTTTGAAGCAAATAAATGCAGTTTTATTGAGGCACCCTCTCAAATATGGCCCAAAGGAAACAACTCAATACATTTATCAAAAGAAACAAGATGAGTGAGCGAGGAGATCAAGGACTACTCTTTCGGTATATTAGAGAAAGCGAAGCCGACATACATCATTCAAGACATTCGTGGCGTCAAAAATGGACGTCATCCCTGGACATGATTTGCACCTGTTTCAAATCCTTCTCTTAACCTGCTTGATCAACCCCAAATAAAAGATATTAAATAGGGTCTATCAAAGTCTGAGGTGTGAGCAAAATAAGGGTTTCTCTTCCATTTTTTGGTGACTGTGCCTTCAGGCCGTCAATGAACTCGCATCTTGCTTAGTTTAACCGAGCTAGTAATCGTTTGTCAGCGGGTAATACGCCGCACGGTGTGAACGTTGCATTATCCTCCATCCATAAATTCTCAATAGTGGAACAAACTTGGGACGTGTAATTATTCACATGGCTCCAGTTGGGAATACTAATCAATCTTTCGGACCTTCATCTCCGTGCCTACGGCAGGTTTGTGAAAAGATTGAGGGGCGGTACCACAACAAATGACTTGGTCATACAATAGCCCTTCAGAGACTGCCTATGAAATTTCGAAACTAAACTCGCGTCTTCTGGATCATACTTTAAAAGATGTTCAGTACACAGGGATCGAGTCTCAGCCAGTTCCAATACCCTCACCAAACCTTGCTCTCCTCTGTTCAGATCCCCCTAACAAGACTGAAACTTTCCCTGCTGTCACAGTCCCTACGGAACGTTGGTTCTCGAAACATTGGTGCCAGGCGCTCACTCACTATGGAAGATAAAGGCGGCAGTGGAAACCCAGCTTGGCAGCAGCAGTGGGTTGAATGGACCAACGTCTTACCGAGCAGCAACACACAATATCTGCTCATCTGCCTTGGCTACGTCATAATATTTGCATATCATACACGGCACAGTATCTCAGCTTACTATGGACACTCACGTACAAAGAAGTCCCTGGCACTGGCCTTGCATATTCTGGCTGCTACCTTTGAGCTTACGCGATACTACTTTCGTGCATTCAGAAGAACAGTACAGCCAGATCTCTTCGACACGGCTGCCTGCATGATCCATTCGATCACCAGCCTCCGTCTAGCTAGAACGTTGCGCAGGGGAGATAAAACCACTCGGGCATCGTACCAGGCGCCGGCGATGCTGCGACCAGTGCTATCCTTTGCCGCAGTGGTACGACAGGACGCTTCTGCGCATGAGGCTTGTGTCAAACTTCTCCATGCTTTCTTGTACACCCGACTGCTCATTTTTGTGGCCAAGAGAATTGGCTTGGGGAAGATTCAGTCTCACTCTACTATATACGCTCGAGCGGTAACCCTAGGGGCCATTTTAGCAATTAGGTCCTCGGGTCTTCCGGCAGGAGTGCCGATATACGTCGGAGCGGTCGGCTTAGTTATGGTTTTTAACCAGCAAACACCCAGCAATCTCCCTTCATCGGTTCATTTAATGGATGGCATTGAAAGACGTCCTGATACCAGAGTCATCAGGTCAACCTCCGTCAAAATGACTAAGGAAAAAGTTCAACAGGCCGTTACGAAAGTCATCCACTGGCTGGGTTTGTTCGAAATCAAGGGTTTTGAAATGAAGCACCTTTCGCCCGCTATACCTGCAAGTGATATTGATGAATACACCGAGCAAAAGCTTGCCGCTACATGAAGTTTGAGGTCTGGAATTAGATAGCTGATTTCTGATACTTATTGTTATGTGTACCATTCTATGAGCTGACGCTATCATTGCCGGTCGGTTGAAATGGGGAATTTGGACGAGGAAGAGGAAAGAGAATACATAAAATAATATGTCGGTGTGGATTACAGAGACGCTGGAGATCCTGAACTCATTCATAAAATGGTGATATATTACATGCCTCCAGTTCGTCGCCATAAATCTGTGTATTGATTACGTTGTTTCGCAAAATCCTTTCCCCAGTAAATTTATCATGTCCAAGGGCAATCTTCTGAGTCCAATTTCAGAGGTAACCGCTTAAGCTTTGCTTTCTATTCAATAGGATCAAGTTTTCTAACGGGGTCTGCAGAGCTAACAGGGCATTGGAAGAACTCCAGTGCACTACATTCTCAACCGAAACCAGAGGCAGCCTGGCCTTCTGATCAAAGTCATGGGCCATCTGGCTGCTGTGGTGCGTTGAATTTATCTTGTACTGTGACAGAATATGTCAGAACTCAGAAGCAAACCAGAGCTCGCAGCAGTGCCACTGCCCTGTATCAAGTCCACAATTCTAACCACGCCCCTATCTCATTCTGCGGCCATTACAAACTGGATTGTTTTCGACATTAACGCATTCATATTATCCCGGCCAAGATCAGACGCGACAAAGATCTTTCACAAAAGATCAATCAGGAAGGATCAGAGATAGCGATAATAAACCATGCTCGTAGCCATTGGAGGCATCGGATACTGTGGCAGCCACAATAAGAGTGTCTTGGGTCGTGCTCACAGCTTCTTTCGATCGGGGCTGTACTTGACACCGTGAGGAGCATATGCGCACGAATCGTCCGTCAACACTTTGACCGAACTGTCTCATTGTATGGAGACTGCAACAGAGTGTGATGGGTAATACTGCCTTGTGCGACCCAAGGGCGGCCCAACTAACGGGAAACTTCCGTTTCCTGACCTGCATGTAAGACATGGTAATAGCCACGTCACCCGTGTCTAGCGCTTATTTACGATGTGTTCACGATATGTGGTCTGTGAAAGACCTGCCCCTGCCGAATTCATTGTCTCTGCGCGTGATCTCAAGATCCCTTGTCTGCATGCAACACTCCAGATTATGCCTTTCACTCAACGCTTGTTCATTTCGATGTTTGATGGTCTCTCAAGAGATGATTTATCTTTCATTCATTTTTTTAATCCATATTTCACAAATTTAAATCATACAATTTGACCTCCTCCTCTTTGACGTTGAGGAACTTCCGCTCGCCCTTAAGATTAAAAGAAACTTTTCGGAGTTTATCGTAGTGACCTATGAAGATTTCAAAATCTGAGCGGTTTCGGAATGGCTTTGACACGTGCTTAGCGTCGTTCAGAGTTCTACTGAAGGGGCGATAATCGCCCCGGAGATGGAACGCTTTCAGCTGCCTCGCCGATAAATGGATGTTCTTCTGTGATAAGATTAATACAACTCCCTTTCAAGTCAGGCAAACAAAGAGGTGGTTTCCACTGACTTCATAATTCATTCGTCGATAACGCTGTCCGCCAGAAGCCTGCAGGTTGACTGGCATGCCAATAAACTCGATCTTGGGACATGACCCAATGAGCTTCTGCACTCCGTAGAGATCGAATCGCATGCATGACTGCGGTTGATCTATGACCTCTCGAATATCCAATACCAATAGCCGAAGAATCTTGCCGTGATTCATGACATTTTCGAGCAACGACGAGCGTAGGCGTCGAACAGGTTCGTCGGCTTCATTGGAGTTCGCCATTACTTCAGTGTGATGGACCGAACTTATGGCACCACTCTTACCGGCGAGATGAGACAATCCTCCCAGTCGAAGCGAGAGCTCCTCCAACTCGCACGTCTTACCTAAATACGAGAGCAGTTCCAAAAAAGAATGCCTCGAAAGATGGCCGGCAAAACGTAGAACTTTCAAGGAGCTGAGTTTCTTCGTTTCCAACAAACGCTGAATCAATCGATCGGCACCAGGGCAGAGATTGAGGTCCAGATTACGCAGATTCCATGTCCTGGCTGGTACAAGTTCAGAGACACAAAAACCATGCAGCGATAATTCCTTCAGATGTGTTAAGAGAGTATTTTCAAAGAACGTAGTACCTGGTATTAGATTCCAGGCTGGAATGCTAAGGATGACAGAACCGAGCTGACTGCAATGGGATAAATGCCACTGAACCCATTCAAGCTCTGCCTTGGATCGAATATTTTTGTGAATCAAGCTTCTGAGATTAGGGAAAGGCTGTGTACCTGTAACCCATGGACACTCGCATGAAAAAGTAGTTACTCGCTCAGGAGCAAGCATGATGGCTGAAAGAATTGGACTTAAGAGTTGAGAGTGACCTAGGCTCCAATTGTATGTATTGCCACGATGTAAAATATCAATAGATCTAACCAAACCGCCTAACTGTAGGTTTGTCGATAGCGTCCTTAGGACTAGCATGGTACTGCAGTCAACGATACCAGATGTGAAATTGAGCTGCAGAGTCTGGTATAGAAGTGGCTGGGCGCGTTTGCGGTTTAGCCTACTGCATCTGACCAAGCTGCTGAGATCGCTGGTGGATAGATACCTCGCTAGTATCCAGTATACCTCGACGGGAAGGGAGTCCATGGTGATGATGAAGTTTAGCTACGAAGGTTACCACGGAACTTGATATAGTCAATCTCAGAACGGTCGCGCTGCAAAATAGATCTTCAAGTCTAATTTTACTTGTTGATAAGACGCATCATGAAACGGTTCGTACAAGGCTGCCTCACGATGCTTTCTGAGACAAGGAAAATACAAGAATTAGGTTATGATAAATGTCACTTTCGACTAAACTGTATTGTCTCATGGAGCCTGATTCTGGGCAAAAGCTGTCAGGGCTACACCCTCCAATTCTGCTTCGTTGGTGATAATCATCTCGGGTTTGTGTCTTGCCGAATGCCCCAATACTTTTCAGTCCGGTTAGCAGCCCGCAGCGCTCCGGAGATACCCTTAAATCCTGACAACATTGTGATAAGTGGTGTGAGTGACTGGATAGCGCGCTGTAGCGCTGATCAAAAACTCGTGCGTTGTTGCAGATGACGAGATGTTTCATACATTTGACTGCTGTAGTGGCAAACACTGAATTCTCCTTGTATGTACCTGAGGTCGATGTTGATTCGTTCTTATTGTTAAACTTTTCACTATTTGCTTGTTTCTATTAAAAGTCCATCAGCTTTGAAAGTCGCATATCTTACATATAAAGATTCGGCTTCATTCCAATAAATCATCCCACGCAAGTTTAGAAAGGGCTCCAAGACCTCGTAGTCATGCATATCGACACACTGAATTCTACGCACCCATGGGGTTCTCATCTGACCCCTGGCAGTAGCCCTGCGAGTATCGGATTTGATGACTTCACCGATTACGGCACTGATCAAGTGCTTGCATGCCAATACGATACCGAAGAGCAAATTTTCTCTCTAGATTCGTCTTTCGATTCTTTTTTTGAAAGTCAACCAGATTTCTCTAGCCCATACGAGCTACCAGACTTATCCCAAAGAGCAGTCTCGCCTTCGATGACCTCACTCGACCGCACATTCTCTTCAGAAATTGCTGGATATGACTTTTCTACGTCCCACACATTTGCAAGTCCGATTTGGCCCTCCGATGAAAATGAGCACCCCAGAAGCTTTTTCAAGCTTTCGGGTGTGGCTAAGGACGTTGATAACCCCTCTAAGTGGGGTCCCGTCGATGATTTGGAGTCACATGGCCCAAAACTTTCACAAACTGGCAGAGCTGGTGGTGGCACGACAGAAAAAGTACCATGTTTGCAGAAATCACCGAGAAGATCTCGGAGGAGGAACAAAGGCAAATCAAGCATCGAGCCACTTCGGACGCTTCAAAGGAATATTCACAGGTGTGAATTTCCTGGATGCAGTTGGACATTCCGAAGAAATGAACACCTGAAACGTCACATGAAGACGTAAGTGCACCTTAAGCCAGTGATACCTTCC